TTTTTTTTTTGTATAAAGTGCAAACATTTCGTCCCAAAGTCTAAGTACTTTAGTGCAGTAAGATGTTGTTTCACGTCCTGTCAAGAATTCGTATAGTATGAGCCTGGATCTACGTGTCAAACTGTTCCATTTGTTTATGTAAAGTGATATTAAAAAAAGATATAAACTATATCTGTCCGTTGCTTTTGGCAAAATTTACAACCACATACTGTATATAATTCCTAGTTTCCATATTTATCCGCATGTAAAGGGCCGGTTTATCCATGTTACAGATATTCAATATTTATGGCTAGAAGAACTCGTATGTACACTTTAGTTTCCAGAACTGTTTGGTAACCTTTCGTACCTTATTAAAGATTCTTAAATCTCAGTGATTGTGGTAGGAATTTCTTCTTCACCCCCAGCAACCTGCTGCCTCTTCCGCCAGCCTGACTGGGTCTCTGGTCTCCCTTGCCTTCCTCATCTGTCATAGCAGGTCATATAAATGTGATAAATGAGCGCTACCCTGCTGGCTTTCCAAGAGGGTGTAATTAGTATTTATATCAAAATTTATGAAACGAATTTTCGGCCGCAGTATAATTTAAATGACCTTTGCAGACGTAGAACAACAACCATAAAAATAACAGAAATCGATTGCATAGGTGAACATCAATATTAATGTCCGCGAATTGTCAGAAGCTCAGGGGGTCACGCAGCAGTGCTGCAAATGAACTTGCAGCTGAGGGTTCTGCTACTCCCCAAATTAAATTCCCCAGGCTGAAAGCAAGTCAAGGATTTGCAATATCATATTTTCTCATGCTGTCTTCAATTAAGCCATTTATGGCCATCACTAATTTCCAGGATGTCGATGCATGCCTTTCCAGGTCTTCGTTCATTGTCCAAAAGTAAATGTCCCTAAAGTATTTTACTTATATTTCTTCAAACACGATGCTAATTTAAATTAATTACTTCCTATGATATGTTATTATTCCTATAATTTTGCCACTGTTATTAGTTCGCTCAAAAAATACATCCAGGGAAGGGAATGATTTTATGTAATTTGATGATCTTTCTATCTCTTTTATTTATTTCTCATTTACTTAAGAAATTCGTTCCATTGGCTGGCGTTGATACAGTAAATTTGTAAATGAGGAGACAATATAAAAAATCTAAATTACTTGTGCTTAATGACTGTAGCAGAACGCCTTTTCTCTAAATCAGATTGTCTTTCTTGCAGTTTAGTTTGATAGATTTGCAAGCTATGCTGCTCCAGCGAAGTTAGCTGCGCTGGTAGGAACCACGGGCTTCTTTGTCTCTGGTTGTAGCTTGCATGATCGCCCCATTAGGCAGACTACTAGTCAGAGATCACAAACCAGGCCCCTTGACTGTAGCTGCCAGGGTGCTGAGGGGGATGGACTAAGACTGACCTCACTGGGCAAAGAACCTAGACTTGCCTTAATATACTAGGTGTGTTCAGAAAGTCAGTCCACTGGCTATATTAACTTTGAGAAGGGGGTGGGGAATGAAAGGGGGTGGGGAAGAAAGGCTTAGAAGGTATGAGAACTCCTTCAGACACTCAGCTAATTTTAAATCGAAATGAAAATTTCAGGCATATGTCATTGTCCAATTGTACAATTGCAAAACCGAGTCCTTAAATCCTTCTAAAAATCCTTTGTTGACTTGCCCTTTCTTCAGTGGCTTGTTTGCGTTCGTCATTTTTAGACCAGAGTCTTATGCGGGTGGTGGTTCACTTTAAACGGATGCTCTTCATGTAAAAGCAATATTGGCCATTCAAGAGAAGAGCGCCACCTTGAAAGGTTGAGAGAGTTCAGGAAGTTGGAGACCACTGGCACCTTAAAACGAATTGCTCAAAAATCTTGCCAGCCCAGAGATAGCTCCACTTTGGTGCGGAGGTTTGAAATTCATCAACATTTGTAGTTTTTGAAGTGACGCCAGACATTAGGTTCAATAATTAAAACAAGTAGAAATGGGAACAAAAACAGCTGATCTCTATAGGAAAGGTAACAGCTCAATTAATAATCCTTCTGTTCCATTAGACCACTCGGTATGAGTTTTATAATGATAATCTTAATAGTAATAGTCTCTTTGTGACTGTGCTCATATATTTAAGAAGATAGCAAATGAGAAACTCTAAGAGTACTTGAACATAAATAAAAACAGTTGACTTTAAATTTGGAAATATAAATGTCTCATTATTTGTGGTTACCTGATATTCCTATTTTTAACGATCACAGATCATATTAAATGGCATACTTTCGGATATGATTTAAGAAGGATATATATTTTTTCCAAAAAAAATCAATTTTAGGGGAAACGTCACTTCCAATGGACTTTACTTTCCCCCCTAGTCTTTTCTTGAGACATTGAAGGCCAAATAATTAAAAACAAACAAACAAATCCATTTGGGACAACATGATGAGAGTAGGAAATTTACTGTATGTTTCCACATTTTCTTTGGATTTGGGAACAGAAATAATTTTTCAAAATCCTATCAGAGAGTTACAGGGGGTGTGAACTCTCTCACTCTACAGAAAGGAGCTTTTTGCTTGTTTAAGTCAACATCTAGGCCAAGCATTCTCTCCTCCAACACGCACCTCAAAGACAAAGTCATTAATGCTGTAGGTTGCCTAAACTAATGCTTCAAACTTACATGCAGTCGTTTATTTTGCTCGTACCTTTAATGTCTGTTCCAGAGATGTATTCTTCGTACTTTTCTTCATGGGCTATTAGGTTTTGAAATACATGAATGTGAACAGCAAAATATATTGTTAGACCCTATTTAGCAGGAGCTGAAGACACTGCAAATGGTTGGTTTCTATGTGTGGCTGTGGATTTTGATTTAGGCAGCAAGCAGTCTCTGTTCCTATAGTGACTGCATTGTACTCTGGATACTATCAAATGATTAGACCAGCGATCGAGTTATTAAAAAGTTATATTGTGTCAACAGAAAATGCCCGAGTACAAGTCATTGTACTTGAGAAACGAAGACCAACGATTTGTGGGATGTGTGTCTATTTATGAAGCTGGCGTATAAATATATGAGCAGTATTTATATTGGGGCTCAGTCATTTTCAAGCATTTAAAATCCTTTGTTTTCTTTTTCAAAAGCCACCCCCAACCGCTTTAAGCAGTTGCAGCTGATGATTTTGATTTTTTAAAGTCAAGCATTCAAGTTAACCTTTAAGAAGCAAACTATCTCCAAAAGAAAGCTGTAACCTTTCAATTGCCCCATCTGCTTATCTATTATTTTTCTTTTTTCTTTTCCTCCCTCCCTCCCTCTTCTTCTTCTTCTTCTTTGGCTGACAAAGAAAATAGCACTAACCTTTGCTGATGGGTCTGGCATTTAAATGTTTTTATTTGCTGATTGTGAAGTCCCTTCTGAACCTTGACAGGGTTG